TTCTCTTGTATCCAATTACGTTTACCTTTGCGTTCCTTTTCGAGTCGATACTTGATACTTGATGTGAACGATACGTTGATTACCTTTTGTAAATTGAACCTGAAACGACGAAATAGAGAAGAGAATAAAAATATAAAATGTAGTGTGTACTGCTTGCTGAAAAATATGTGATATTTTCACATACCTTGGTATTTTCATTGAACGAAATACACATTGGTTCTTCGATTTTTGTATATTTGAAGGTGAAACGTGTAAATAGCTACATAAAAATAGTGGAACAGCGATCCTAGATGAACACTTCCCATTTTCTCTGAAGTGAGATTATCATAATAGATCGAATATTTTACAGTAGCGTAGACAAAACAGAGAAAGATGAATTGAGCGAATCAAGCAAGAAACTAACAACAATCGTGCATATTTACCGACAGCAATTCTATTCTCCGTCATGATCGTTTGCTCGCGGTTGACACAGTTTCTTGAAACCGGGCGCAGCTCCGCATTTCCAGAATGGAGGGCTGACAAATGACAGTGTTTCATTTATATTTCAGCCGCGACCTGGAAGGAGGCCCCGAGGACGTCCTGGGAACACCGCACAGTTGCAGACGACGCCCAGGATACAGAGTCCCATCTCGCAGCATCTTGAAAAAGGTGAGTCTGGTCTCGCTTGTCCTCGCGATGAAAATTTCAAACCGGACATGCTGCAGTGTCTAGCCCGGCGTTATGATAATGTCACTATACTCGTCGTTCTCGCAATTTCATCTCGCAATTTCATGGCGATGGACATTTCATCGCGTCCTGTTAAGCAATTACGAATATAACACGAACGAGTCAGAAATAGATTATTTTATAAACGCTGTTCAATTCACGGGGTAGCCCCAATTGATTCTATTAATAATTGATTGGTAGCAATGAATACGGTCGATCCTGAGCCGTTTCGGAGCACTGTAGAGTTTGCTTAGTTCGACTGTGATGATTTTCATATAATCCTCGAACAGAAGTATAGTATCTATTATTCGAAATCTCATTTCCTAGCATTTCCCACATGAGTAACGTATTCTAGGTAAATGACACAAATTTAGTCACTCACATATTTACTACTTCCTTCATTTATTCACCTGTTTACCCGAAATCAGATTCAGTATCCTAATATAGAGGACCTAGATCCGACGTCCTCGATTGCAACATTCTCTTGCAAAATTTAATCAATTCGCTCGAAAACGAATATACTCTTCATTCTAAATTAACAAGTCCTAATAATGTCTTAATATTCCAAACGGGTCTACCCTGCTCCAGATACAGCGACACGATTCGCCGATAGCCCGAGAATAATACACGTTCTCAGTCGTCGATTAACAAAAACTAAGTAACATTGTATACAGCGCCGGGTTATTATTACCACAAGCGGGTAACAAGGGCGTGGAGCGCTATCAATCGAAGTCGACCAACTTAGCACGGTATATCCCCGGCGGCATGTTCCGCGCGACGGAGCACAGAGGCGGCGGCGGGTCCGCGTGCACCTAACGGAAAGGTCATCGAAGGGAAAGCTAGACCCGTCTGCCGAATGTAGCCCTCGAGCATGCCGCGTGCTAGGTCTACGTCTTCCGCATGGTCGATGAAGCGGGGTCAAGTAGGGTCGTCGCCGCGCGGCTGGCTTGGAAGCCGCCAACGCGATCGAACAGGCTCGAAGGTCGGGCAAGGAGCTTCCCGACGAGACGTCATTCATTGACGAAGCCCTGGGATCGGGTCTGGGCTCGCGCCTTCGAATGCATTGCCCTCGGCCGACGAATAAGGCGAGGGAGGAGGTCCTCTTCTTCTCCTGGGACAAGATATAAAAAGAACGGCGCGCGGAATGGGGGGAAAAGAAAAAGTTAAGGAGAAGTCGGGCGGAGATGGGGAAAGGGATGAGGAGAGATATTCGGGGTGGAGCAGAGCGCCGAGGGGAATAAATGATTCGAGGAACGGAGAGGAACCGGTCCACAAACAAAAGACTCGTTGCCGGATCCGGCTGAATCGGTGGTTAGGGGGCCAAGTTGGAGAGGAAGAGGAGATGGAAGTCCTGGAGATGGTCGGAGGGATTCAGCCAGGAAGGAAGTGCTGACTCCGATGGGAAGAGAGAGGGTGCTGATGTTGATGAAACGGAGAGCGCGGGATTCCGAAGCCTTTGTCCCGGGACGAACGCTTCTTAATCTCGCGGAACCGGTGATCCTGCACGATGTTTTTCTGCTTCCTACGTTTATCGCGATCCTTCCTCCATCCCCATCGAGCTTTCTATTTCTCCTTTCTTCTACTTCGGATTTCTCTTCCGTCGCTGCTCTCTGGGTTAGTCGTGCTTTTTAGGGTCGTCGGGCTGGTCCCGTGGTTTCTTCGATTCTCGAGTGTCTTCCGTTCAACCGACCGGGAAATTAGAACTTGTATTTCGCGTCGATTCGCTCAGCTGAATCGCGAACGGGACGTCTGTTTTATTCGGGAATTGGACTTGTAGCAATTGCGTGGACGTTGTAACTGACTGTACTAGATGGTGACTGGGGATGGGAAAATTTGTCGTTTGCTGGTTGAATGTGGAAAGTTAGTGGACTGGTTATCGTGCGTTTGTTATGAATAAAGCAAAGTGAAGTTGTTCGTCAAATTGAATGAAACGTTTGGGTAAAATACATTTATCGAATCGTATTGTTAAAAATTAGTTTCTGAAAATGTGTATTTGTTGTCTGTTCATTCTTGCTCTTTTTAGGGAAATTCTGCACGCGACGGAAGATCGAATATTTCTGAGCAGTAGTTTGACTCAGAGGTACGGCTCCAATGACTCGATCAGAGTTAATAAACGCACGAATCGGGATTTATTTATAGATATTCAAATCTCCAAATCCTCTTTGCCAGTCTGTCGTATGGATCGCTAAGTGTTCCATGACGATAAGAGCAACGAACCACGTTCTTCCCGGCGCCCGTGTTCGTCATCGTAGAACAGTCGCTCCTCGTCCAAGTTAGCAACCGTGACCGGACCTTTTTTCGTCTGTTTCGACCACGGATGCAGCAGGAAGTGAGAAGAGGAGCGGGCGCCGTCGCAAAAGTCCCCTTACGTCACCGGTCAAATATAACCGACGCGATTGCTCCTCTATTTACTCATCCTCCTTTCCTACACGTTGGTTGACTGCCTAGATTCGTCGATCGTTTACTTTCTTCCCTTAGGATCGATGGTTTCATCATTCCACAAGCTTCTAGCACAATTCATTAAAAACTATTAAGCCTTTTTATTTCTATAATTCACAAAACAACAAGCTCGAAAGAAATTTAAATCAAATAGAATCTAAAATAAAGTGAACCCACCACTGTTCAAATAAAAATTTCGTCATTTCTACTTGCTACGGACTATAACACTATAAAGATCCATAATTCAGAGTTAACAAACAATAATGCTCAAATACTTGAATATTAAAATACTCGCAGGAGGAAAATATCAGTACCGTCACCAACGATACCATGTGAACCGAATCAGAACCTGAATTGTCGTCATCGAATCCCAAATTTCGCTCAGTCTGGCCGTCCATCGATGATTTCCAGTCGGTCCGGGGAGCGGAAAATCTCTTCGGGAATCGGTTGGTCGTTTCCCATGGGAGGCCGAAAAATCCGCGACGGTTCCCGGGAACCCGTTCGTTCCGCACGACAGAGGATTCAAAGCCGCGATCTTTCTTTCCGCGAGCGACGAGGCGCAGGCACGCGCTAATAAAGTAACGAGGGCATCCTTTGAAGTGGGTCTTCTGCGTCGCTGTAATTCCTCGCCTCGTCGTGGTCGTCGTCCCGCGTCGCGCGGCCTCTCTTTCCCCCGCTTCTTCTATTTTCCTCTTTTTTTCCTCCCTTTTTTCCCACTGGTTTTTCTCTTTCTCCGCGCTTCCTCCGAAAATAAACGCGCCGCGTAAAACGCGAACCGGATGACACGTCGCTGAAAATACAACCGTGAGGCGACGGCGGCGCGATGATATTTCGTAGTAATTACGAGCGGGGTGGGCGGACGCGGCCGGCGAGGAATTTTTTTCTATTTGGACGCGAGGAAAGCCCTCGTCGCGTAAATATCCCGCGGAAAAAGGGGTGAAGACGCGGGCGTTAAAGGGACGCCGCGCGGAAATGTTACGCGTTAATTAGGGATGTGCGTGTTCGCGGCTTCCTACGGCATGTTGATAATTAGGAAATATCGCGGACGTTGGCTTGGTAATCAAGAGTATGCCGGAAGGAAAGGAATTGTCAGGCGGAGTGCTCGGGAATAAATGAAAAACTGGTTCACTCGTTACGATAAATTGTATCCAAGAGAATAGTATACTAACTTAGAGTGAGTATAAAAGTTATTCTTCAATGGATCGATTATTGAAGTCATCGACTGTCAATGGAAAATCTAAGATTCAATTCCTAATCGCATGTAGAGATATTTTTTTTAGTTTCAAATACTTCTCTCGGATTTCTCTGTCGCTAATGTTCATTTCGAGCAGAAGGCCACCACGTTCCGAAAGTGTTTCGTGCGCGCATGACAAGGAAAGATTTTCCGGCCGACGATGAAAATGCCACAAAGTTGCGACGCCGTGACAGGTAATGAATTTTAATGACGAAACAAAAGACGGTGCGGTGCAAATGTTGTGTGCAAGTGATCTTAAATAGCAATGGACGAGAACAGGGAGAGGAAAACCTTAACACATAAAGGAGGAGTAATGAGAAACAGAGATTGCAAGGAAAACGTGATTGATAGCGGGTAACATTGGTCGTGTACGGCGGGCTTTGCTTGGCAGCCTACCAATCCTGGTTGTGCGAGTCCGTCGACACTCGTACCCGCCTCCCCGTCGTTCCCTTGATTCTCTCCGACTTTTCAAAGTCGGGAGCTGCCAACTGAAGTTACAAGGAAAATGTAGCACTCGCGGAACTTCTCCCTTCGAGGAGAAAAAAGTCTGTGGTGTGTGCACCTTGAAGATTCGGGAAAGAGGAAAAAAGAGCACTTGGGAAAATGGAAATGGAAAATGGTGAAGTTATATTGGAAAATCGAATCGAGGAGAAGGGAGGAAGAGAGTAATATCGGGGTCTCAGAGGTTATAGCTCTGTGATCCGTTAAATTCCGGCCATGATGCGCCAGCAGCAACGTTTCCCAGGATTAAGTTGATTGGTCTCTTTCTCCGCTCCTCCATTCTCTCCTTCTCCGAAATTTCTGATTGATGACGACTGCTTCTCAAAAGGAGAGTTCCCCCTGAGCAAAGATATTCACATTGCGTTCAACCAGAATGTGTATCGTTCCGCGACACTTGCATCCCAAACGCCCGGACAGGGGAAATCCATCAGAATCACCTCCAACAAATGTGCGTCCCAGTTGGCCGGTTTTGAAGCAATAATGCGTGTGTGCCGCACGCATTATCAAAGTTTCTCGTTCGTCTCCGCGTTTGATGGTGATGCGTTGCAAGTGTACATGCATCCAGCGAGGGCACACACTGCTAGGCGGATTAGAGTGCTCTGCCGAGTAGCAGCAGCACGTGGGCGGTCTGTCGTGCGATGTATGCACGAATCGCAAGTGCCAGGGAGAACCACATGTCGGCACACTCGCATCTGGCGGCCAATGAGCGGTTTCGTTAGTTCAGTAATCACCTAGAAGAAAGTCTGGTACAACTGTAAAGACCGAATAA